AGCGGGGGCAGGGGAGGCACCAGAAGTGAGGTCAAAGAGGGAGAGGCCGTCTGCTCTGTCGCACTGTAAGAAAAGCTGCAGGTCATCTATCCAGACGTCAAAGTCAATGGCCCGACCCTCAGCATCAAAAGCGAGGACACTAGGGGTAGCCATGACAGCAGTAGACTAGCAGCGCAAACAGTAGGGTGAGGGCAGTGCTGTGAAAGAGGCGCTGCTCTTACCGGACAGGGCGGCTCGGGTGGCTCGGTTGCAGGGCGGCTCGGCGGCTCGGCTGCTGGGCGGCTCGGCGGCTCGGCTGCAGGGCGGCTCGGCGGCGCGGCTGCTGGGCGGCTCGGCGGCTCGGCTGCTGGGCGGCTCGGCGGCTCGGCTGCTGGGCGGCTCGGCGGCTCGGCTTCTGGGCGGCTCGGCTGCCGGGCGGCTCGGCGGCTGGGCGGCTCGGCTGCTTGGCGGCGCGGCGGGGCCGCTGAGAGGGCGGCGCCCGGGGCCGCTGGGAGGAGGCGGCGAGGCCGCTGAGAGGAGGCGGCGGGGCCGCAGGTAGGTGGCGGGGCCGCTAGTAGCTGGCGGGGCCGCTGGTAGGTGGCGGGGCCGCTGGTAGGTGGCGGGGCCGCAGGTAGGTGGCGGGGCCAGCACAGGTAGGTGGCGGGGCCGCGGGTAGGTGGCGGGGCCGCTGGTAGGTGGCGGGGCCGCAGGTAGGTGGCGGGGCCGCTAGGAGGTGGCGGGGCCGCAGGTAGGTGGCGGGGCCGCAGGTAGGTGGCGGGGCCGCTAGTAGGTGGCGGGGCCGCAGGTAGGTGGCGGGGCCGCTAGTAGGTGGCGGGGCCGCAGGTAGGTGGCGGGGCCGCACAGGTAGGTGGTGGGGCCGCACAGGTAGGTGGCGGGGCCGCGGAGGGCGGCGACGAGCCGTAGGGGGCCGTGAGGGGCCGCGCGAGGGGCCGTAAGGGGCGTAAGGGGCCGCGCGAGGGGCCGTAAGGGACGGCGCGAGGGGCCGTAAGGGGCGGCACGAGGGGCCGTAAGGGCGGCGCGACGGGCGCGACGGGCCGTAAGGGCGGCACGAAGGGCCGTAAGGGGCGGCGCGACGAGCCGTGAGGGGGCCGCTAAGGGCGACGCGACGGGGCCGTGAGGGGCCTAGCGAGGGCGCGACGGTAGGGGGGGAGCACCCAGGGCGCGACTCGGGCCTGAGCGAAGCGCGCTCCGGGCAGGAAAAAAAATTTCGTGGTGGTGGGCCCTAGGAATCGTTCCCACTAGGGAACCTGCTCGATACCATGAGAAGAAACGAGGAATGGAATGACTAAGGGAAAGTTGGGTACAAAATGCAAACCCTAGAAAACTGTACCCCATATGTGCTACCCCACTATAGCCTACAGTAGCTCTGTCATATAAATCTGACAGAAGCTCGGAAAACAGAAGTTCGAGTACTGCATGCTGCTGACTGGACAAAGCCACGTCACCAGCAGCGACACTCCAGAAGCGAAGGGGAGTGTTGGAAACAAGTGACTTAAGCGCTTCTGATGTGTCGAAACACTGAACTGCAAGCGAAGCGAACTACAACGAAGCAACGGCGAGTCAACCATCGGAGGTTAACAAGAGGAGTAACTGCTGGAGGTTACGCGAAGGTCAAAGGTCAGCGACCTTTGACTTGACAAATACAGCGCGACAGCAAGGACAAACAACTGACTCGATACTGAGCAGTTGCCCGAGTCGTCACTGTATCGAACCGCAACAGCAACAGTAAAACAGTTAGTTACACCCTTTCATGTTCCTTGTACTCTTATAAAAACCTTGTATCTTCTTGCTTTAATCAATCTATTTGGTTCAACATTTATCATTAAAACGCTTCCGCAACTACCATACACCATCTATTTAGTCTTGTAAAATATCCGAAGGGCTTTTCTCAGCCCAACAGTGTGGTCAGTATCAGACGAAAGAATCCGCGTTGTCTGTAATCGAAAATGTACAAGCAGGTCTGGAAAATCAGACGAAAAAAAAATCACTTATCTGGCTTTTCAGATGAATATTTAATAATTGTCTTGAAATTCTGATGAACTACCGTACTAAAAGTGAGTCTGATTTTCAGACCATCAGACCAACTGGTCTGATATCGACGACCCTGGTGTCAAGTCAATGCAATGCAGCTGTTACTTGCTTGGCTGTCAGCCATGCTGCCTCCAATTTCTACAGTTCAATGTTGGCAACATACCTAGGCTGCCTGTCTCATGCCTTGGTTGTGGCATCTTCATGAGCAAATGTTGTACCGTAACTACAAGGCACCAAATCAAGCCTCTGAACTGAGCATTCTGTGATTCAAACTGTGAGCTGCTTCAGTAGCAATCTGCTGTCTGCCAGTACTAGCAGGAGTGGGTTGCATCCGATTGGGTTCAGCTTTAGTTGGCTTGGTCTCAATACCGTATGAGACCACGTCTGGTTGCAGCATTCAAAAATATCTTCAAACTCCTTGGTAAGACCAAGTCCTCCTGCTTCCTGCTAGCACGAGAACAGGTCTCGACTCAGCATCAACACATTCCGCCCATCCACAAACTTCTTAAACCCTCCCCACCGCTCAAAATTCCGCAGCACCGTTCCTTTGCAACCCTCGCACACGCCCCCCCCTTCATGCAACTCGCCTATAAACACCTGCACACCGCGCAGCACCCTCAGCGACGGCTTGTGCGCAAACACCCTCCGCTCCGCCCCCTCGATATCCATCTTCACCAGATCAAATCTCGGGATTCCGTACGCTGCCATGATTGCTGTGAGCGTGCTGCCCTGCACGTGCCCTCTCACCCTGCCTTCACATGTCGGCCCGGCTCCCACCAGACTTTCCTGGTACCTTGTCCGCTTCGCTTCCTTCACCCTCTTCTTCTTGCCACTTCCCGCTCCGCCACCCCCTCCCCCTCCGCCTCCGCTTTCCCCGCCTTCCTCTGTAACAAACCCTAACTGCCGGCTCGAATTTGCAAACGGCCAGTCAGCATCGCCGGGCAGCTCCGACTGCGATTCGCACAGGGAGAGCGGCGCGATGCGGTCCCAGAGCGCGGCGCGCACGTGCACGATGTTCCCCACGCGCGCGCTGCTCACCACCCCCACGCGGAAGTTTTCCGCCTCGGGCTCCACGCGCACCACCAGCGCGTCGGGGTACAGCAGCGCGAACGCCAGCGCCGCCATCCCCGTCCCGCCCGCGTCTAAAATATACCTCGGCTCGATCGGAATCTTAAGCAGCGCGGAGTACTCGAAGCGCACAAAGTGGTTCCCTAGCGAGAGCAGGTCGGTGGAATTAGGTCGTAGCTGCCAGTGGATGGCGCAGCAGCCGTGCGCGGCGCACGGGAACTGGTCCACCAGCACGTGCAGCAGCCCGTCCGGCGCCGGCTTCGTGCCGGCCGTCCACTTGGCGGCGAGCGCGGGGCTCTTGAGGATCCCCAGGTCGATCTGGCTCATCGGGACGGTCACGGCTGACGACGGCAGCACGCCCGCTACAGCCGATCCCGCTACAGCCGTTGATGCTGAACCCGCTGATGCCGATTCTCCGCCGTTTTCGCCGCTTCCGCCGCCGCCGGTTCCGGAGGCTGTTTCTGAGTCAGCAGCAGCGTCAGCGGCGGCGGTGGTTGCCGCCTCCCATGCGATGACTTTCCAGATTTCGAACTGGCGCACGTGCCACACGATGCCCTCCGTGCGCCAACACAGCGGACGCCGCCATTCCTTCTTCCGCAGACACACGCGGTTCGCCTCTATCCGCCAGTTCTCGCGCTCCTCGATCGGCCGGGTGTCGGCGGGGGGCCGGGATCGCAGCAGGGCGACAATGATAAAAAGGATGACTATAGCGAGGACGGAGACGGCGGCGGCCTGGGAGCGGCGCGAGGAGGCGAGGTTTTGTCGTAGCCTGTGGTAAGAGGAGTGAAGGAACGAGCCGGGAGGAACGAGTTGAGAGAGGCGATACGCGAGCCAGGGGGGGAGCGCGGACCCCTGCCTGCCGCGCTTCATGGCGCGCGGGGCATGTGACAGAGCGGAAAGGGTATGCGGGGCGGAGAGTAATGCGCCGACAGCGTGACCCCAGCCAGCCCTAAACCCTGAACCGGCTACTAAGAGCGACGAGGAGGCTAAGATTGTTGTGATCTGCGGCCCCGCGGCTGGAATATCCTATAGTCCGTCAGATAGGACAAACGGCGGTAAGGACCAGTAAAAATCACCTGGACCTGCTGAACATGCGGAAAGATGGACGGACAGGTGGCAGGATAAGGGAGGGAGGCGTAGTGGATTGGGGGGTATATGGAACTAGGGGCGCGTTTGAAAAGGCGTACCTGGTCCGGACGATTTTGGACTGAAACTTTGGGACTGAAACATGGGGACTGAAACATGGGGACTGGAGCATTGGTGGAATACTGTAACAAGTTTGAAAGCCCCTGACATTCGAACAGGTTCTCGAAAACAACTCATTCTGTTCGTTTCACGGGTTACTGCTGCTCCTTGGGAACAATTCGTTTCGCATCTGTTCGTGGACCGTTTAAATATTGCGCACTCTTTTGCCCTTTGTCATCGCACAGCACCGTTTCCAGTTTCCTTGTCGCACTGCAACCTCGCGGAGGAATGCTGTTCCAGAATGTCAGTACGCAGGAGTTCGAGCCTGATTCATGGATCCAGCTTTTGCAGCCAACTCTTGCTGCCTACATACATCTACGGCTGTGCGATTTCGCGAGTGAGCGCCGTCGCAATCCGCTTTCTCCACTGAGCTCTCTCGCCATGTCCGTCGCTGATCTGCTTCGAGATTTCCTGAGCGTCCAGGCGGATCGCGCGCGGATCTACCATGCTTTCGAAGGGTACGATGCCAACCTTCTACCGCGACTCATGCGTTCGCATCACCCCCTCATGTTTTTAGTCTGACTCAGATCGTTAAAACCAAATTCCGTTCAGCCGAGCCTGACTCACGTCACAACCCATTCCCATCAGCTCAATCAAAATGCCGTTCTTAGCGATCGCTGATCTCACGGTTTTGTATCACGGCGCGTCAATTCCTGATGCGTGTACCGTCTCCGCGCGAGAGCTCAGTCATCGGCGGCCTTCGTGTCGACCAATCACCCGTCTCCGTGTTGCTTTCAGAAGGCTGCGCAAGAGTCAAAACTTCCCGTTCCTCTCTCCCCCTCCCTTGTCTGTGCCACACTCCCCTTCCTTCCGTCCTTCCCCGCAGCGCGTTCGCGGACAACCTCTCAGGAGCCTCGCCGGACTCCGCCTTCCACCGCGCGTGCCAGGCCATAACGGCCGACTTCACGCGCTGCTCTCTCAAGGTACGAGCCGCACGGTAGTTTCCCGCTAGAGCTCTGCGTGTTTACCATCTTGCATCAGAGGTTGCGGCTAGAATGCGCTGCGAATGACAACTATGCGTTTTGTCTGAAAGTTTCGCTGCTGCTTTCTGCGCCTGGGCGGCGTCCCCCCCCCGCGCTCCCCCTCCCCTCAGGTGCGGGAGGTGGAGGCACAGCTGCGGGCGGAGGGCGCGGGGCGCGCGGACCTGGCGGACGTTGTGCGGCGCGTGCAGGAGCAGGAGCGGGAGAAGCTGCACCTGGTGAGACTCGATGCGGTGGAGGGTGGTTTGACGGGATGAGATGAGATGGGATGAGGTGGGATGGGATGGGATGGGATGGGATGGGATGGGATGGGATGCCATTCTATGCTTCTATCCCCACTGTCCCATGTGCGAACGTGAATGCGCCGTTTCGTCACCAGACAGCCGTCCATCACAACTTGCACGATTTCCTTTGCAACTGCGCCTGCATCTGCACCTGCAACAGCGTGTGGCATTCGCCTTGTCTGCCCCTTGCTTCCTCGCCCACCACACATTCTGTGCGTCCCATCCCATCCGATCATGCCATCCCATCCCAACCCATCCCGTCATGCCACCCCACTCCGTTGCATCCTGCCATGCCACCCCATCCCATCCTCCTGCCCCATCCGACCACATCCTGTGACCTGATCTCTTCCCAGACGGCCGTGCATCACGTGCTGCGCAAGTCTCTCCGTCCGTCCGACCGCCCGCGCTCTGAAATCGTCTCCTTTCTGCCGCAGCGGCACAGGGACCACCCGCAGCCTCTGCAGCAGCCACAGCCACTGGGAGAGCAGCCGGGGCTGCAGCAGAGCGAGGGGCGATGCGCAGGGCATCGTGAGTATGATGGTGGTGCCAATGGTGATGCCGATGTTGATGTGCGGATGGGTGATGGTGAGCGGCAGCAGGGCAGTGAGGAGCAGGCAGGTGTGGGCGGCGGACAGCTGACAGACGATAGAGGCACAGAGACTCTCAGGTCCCACGGTGGTGCAGAGACACACGAGTGTGTCGGCACGACCAGGTTTGCAGGTGGGGAAGACGCACCCGCAGGTGGTGTTGATGGTGGCATTGCGCGTGAGCTGGCGCATGCCTCACTGGTCTCTCCCGATGCCGCTGTTAAAACCTGCAGTATCCCAGCCTCCTCTGAAGCCAGCACGCAAGCCCCCACTGAAGCCCAGTCACATGTGGTCACAGGTGGCCCCGCCACAGAGGCCTCTCCTCCAGGCCATGGCCTTGCAGCCCCGGCCCAGGGGCTGTCAGGCATGCCCGCGCCCCTCCGGGGGATTCCACCTGAATCTGCGGCTGCCGCCTTCACTGCTGCACGCAGGGCAGGCGGGTGCGGGTGCGGGCACAGCAGCAGCAGCAGCAGCAGTAGCAACGCTGCTGGTGGTGGCAGGGGCAGTGGTGCGGTGGGGCATGGGGAGGAGGACGGGGAGGGCGAGTGGGAGGAGCAGTGTGCGGTGGCGCGTCTAGATGCGGAGTATGATGCAGCGATGGCGGAGGTGAGGCAGGCCCTGGCGCGCATAGTGGGGGACATCAATGAGGCGCTGGAGGAGGTGCGGTATGAGGTGGCAGAGCTGGTGGGGGGAGCTGACGTGGAGGATGCTGCTTAGAGGGGTGTTGGGGACGGGTGTGGGAAGGAACGTGATGGTGGTCCTTTAGTTGCTTACCTTGGACGTTGGAGAGATCAATGAGGCGCTGGAGGAGGTGCGGTATGAGGTGGCGGCGATGGTGGGGGAAGCTGACGTGGAGGAGGCTGCTTAGAGGGTGTTGGTGTGGGAAGGAAAGTGATGGTGGTCCTTTAGTTGCTTGGCTTGAAAGCTGGGACACTATGAGGCGCTGGAGGAGGTGCGGTATGAGATGGAGGAGCTGGTGGGGGAGTAGAGCTGGCATGGCTTGGCTCCAATGGCTCATGACGTCATTAATATGCTATTAGGTGGCAGAGGTGTTGGGGGAGGTCGATGGGGAGTGATGATGATGTTTCCCTAATGGGGGAAGTAGGACTGGGAATGCTTGGGTCTTATTTGAGATCAGTGAGGCGCTGGAAGAGGTTAGATACGAGGTGGCGGAGCTGGTGCGCGGGGTTGACACAAAGGATGCTGCCTAAGTGTGTTGGGGGTCGGGGTGTGAATAGAGGTGGAGGTGATGGTGTTCCAATGGGGGTGTGGGGCAGGCGTTGGTCGGCTATGATAGTGGATGCGGTCAAGGAGGCACTGGAGGTAGTGAAGTCGCCCTGTGATGCCAATGCCGTATGTGGATGGATGATGAAGAAGGCGAGGATTGTAATTGTTTGTGGTGCTGTGGGTGATGCTGGCTGCACCACTACTTCAGTGGGTTGGACTGGCTGGACTCACATAACATTCCTACCGGGGCATGTTCAAATTTGACATGCCTTCAGCTTTTCCAGGCCCTAAAGCATGATTTCATCGATATCCTGAAATTCTACACCCATGGGTGTTACGTGCAGACCAGGTAGGTCAATTGTTGTGGGCCCTGACGAATTAGGAGGTCCGCTACATGTTATCATCCTGGGTGGGGGCCATATTCCCTTGCTCTTCGTACCGTATGATTGTAAATAGCATTAACCTCCTGGGTAGAAGCCCCCCCTGTTAATTGGCCCTTTATTTATTGTAAGGATTGTAACTATAAGAAACATACAACCACAGTAGTAGTAATGAAAAGTAATGGAATTAGCGGAATGGCGTCCAGCCAAACGACCTACCTACCCGGTCACTGGGGGCGTGCGCTGTTGGCATGTGGGTGGGTGGGTGCATCAGCGGCTTGCGTCGCCTAGATGTTTGGTTCTTGTCTGATCCGCAGCTGTTGTTGACCCGACCTAATCGTTTGGGTCGCGTTCACATGTGGTTCAGGAGGGGAGGCTCTTGCCGTCGCATCCCTAACTCAGCTTCGTGTCGATCCGTTTTCGAAGTGCATCCCGGGCGGACATCCTGCCGTTCGCAACAAGCAAGGTCGATTCACCCACCGCGTCCTACTCGACTCGCCAAACGAGGCCCGTGGCCCGTGGGCAACCTGTCCATGAGAAGAGGGACTTCGGGTAAGGATGAGGGAGAGGAGGTTGCTGCATTGCTGTGTCACGGGACGGGGATTGGGGGAGCAGCCGAACAGGGCCGCGTGTACACTGTACCCCCCGTGTTGGTTTTAATTTCCCTTGGCTGGGTGGGTCGTTGGGCGAGTTGTTCCTCCGCCAACCACCACGAACCCGTCAGCTCAGCTCAGCGCCAGACTTCTCTGATTTCCTTCCCTTCCCAAGAGTGTCCTTACACTGTTCACGTCTGCTTGGAATCGTTCCGCAAGCTCTGCATCTTCTAGTGGTCGGATTGTATTGCACGTGGGTGGCGTGGGGCTTTGTCGAAACGCGATTTTTATGTTTTCGAGAGGTCATTCCTAGGTAATGTATTAGAACGAATGGCCCTAATTCTCGTTGCACAACCAATGCCTTCTCGACGCATCAAGGCCGTCAATTGCGAAGCATGAGCACCGCAGACGTATTCCGCGATTGCTACGACATCCCCTCGAATCAACGGTCAGGAAGGATGTCGTCCAACGCCGCTTCTGCCCCCTCACCGTACGATCAACAACCTTATGAATCACAGCCGTACGCTACCCAGCCACAGACGCGTCCGTCGTCCGGGTTCCGTAGGGGTCAGCACCGGCGAGGCGCGTCGGCCGGTAGCTTGTTGATTCCCGTGGAACAGTGGCGGCATGAACAGGAGCAGCGGCAGGTGCAGGAGCCGCAGCATGATGCGACGATGCAATATGGGGGAGACTATCGCGACGAGAGGGAGCCGCGTGGCGGCGAGTACCAGCAGTATCAGCAGAATCAGCAGGATAACCTGCAGGAAGAGGAGCAGCGGTACTATTACGAGCAACAGCAGCAGCAGCAGCAGCAGGTACGACCGCAGCGGCGACAGCAGCAGGAGCAGAAACGGCAGTACGAGCCACGCGCTGATCCACGGCAACGCCAACGCCAGCTGCCCTTGCACCAGCAGCAGCCGCACCCGCAATCGTTTGAGAACGAGCCTTTTGAACAAGAAACTTACATCGCCCGTCCCGAACAAACCTCCGGTGCGGGAGCGACACCGCCTCGTGGCGCCGCGGCGCAGCAGCATGGAGGCTTGCCGTTTCCGAGCCTCTACCGGCCACGTCACGGCCGGCAGCAGTCCGCCGACAATTTCGGCCGTCCGCCATCAGCCGCGATGCGGCTCCGTCAGGAATCGTCAGACCGGCACAGCCGGAGCCACAGTAACTTGCCGAGCTTCGCCTCCTCCCTCTCCTCCTCGCCTGACGTCGCTACGCGCGGCGCGGAGCGTCGAGCATCTCACTCGGAAGAACAGGTAGAGGCGGATTTACGGGCGGACCCATCGAAGGTAAATTATTCCCAGCAGAATACTGAAGTGTACGCGCCGCAGACGGACGGCGGCTTGCCGGGACGGCGAATTAGGGTTTCGAGCCACAGCGTGGGGCACATGGGGGAGATGGCGTCCGCATCCCGCGTGCCTCCCCGCGCGCCGGGACCAGGTCGCGGGAGTCCCGTGAGTGCTCTTAACAAGGATCGCCGCAGGCCGATTTCGTATGATTCGCAGCAGTTCGCGATGTCAAACGACCTCGCGGATGGCACCCACGTCGCCGGTTTCGCCGCCGGTGGTAACCAGCTAAGTGCTGGAGCTCGGCATCCCTCGAGTGGGAGCAGCGGACCCGGCAGGGGCGGCGGATTAGGAAGAGGGGGAGCAGGAGGCGGCGGCGGAGGCGGTGGTGGGAGTGGCGGTGCGGGTGGAAGCGGTAAGGAGTTACAGGGTGCAGGCGCGTCCCCCGCGGAGTGGTCGAGGGGAGGCGCCGGGGAGAGGCAAACGGGGCAGGGGGGGGTGGAGGGGCGAGCCATGGGTGCCCCTGGGCAAGGGATGCGGGCAGCAGCAGCAGCAGGAGCACGGACCACCTCCCCTGTGGAGGGGCCAATTGGGGAGAGGCCTTCTGGGGAAGGCTTTGCTGGGGGAGGTGCGAGAAGTAGGCGCCTGGGAGGCGGTAGGGGGGGAGGGCGGGGGGCTGTGGTAGGAAGGGGTGGTGGTGGCGGCGGCAGGGGCGGTGGCGGCGGTGGCGGCGGTGGCGGCGGTGGCGGCGGTGGTGGGGGTGGTGGGGGAGGAATTCGAACGACCCCACCGACGTCTCCCCTGGCGAGCCTAACGCACGAGGACTTTGCGGCGTTTGAGGGGTACTCGCGCAACCAGGACGCCATTGACAGCGTGCTGCAGGCCGCCCGGGACCTCGTCCAGGACTGCCAGCACGAGGGCGTCTGGGAGTCCGAAGCCACGCTCAAGCCGTGGCGCGGTGCCGCCGAGCCTGACCGGCAGGTTCGGCAGCAGGGGCGAGGTGGGTCCGAGCCTGAAAGGGAGCCTCGGCAGCAGATGCGTGGCGGGTCGGAGCCTGAGAGGCAGGCACGGCAGGCTGATTCATACAGGCAGAAGGAGAGGGACGCTCTGGGGGTTGTAGAGGCGAGGAGAGGAGTGGATGGCGCTTATGGGAGCGAGAAAGAAGAGTACCGGCAGCAGGGGCAGCAGCAGCAGCAGCATCACCAGCAACAGCAGCGGCGGCGGCAGCAGCAGCAGGAGGAGTGGGAGAGGAGGAACGGGTCGTTCAGCGACCGGGGCTCGCTGGGCGAGCGCGCAATCAGCAGCCAGCGCGGGTCCAGCGCCGAGCGCACTGCGCCTGGCGACATGGGGTCGTTCGGGGAGCAGAGGCAGGGCGGCCACAGCGCGCACGGGAGGGGCAGAGGGGCTGGCCATGAGGGGCACGCTGCCGGGTCTCCACTTGCCGCTTCCAGCAGCAGCGCTATTGCTGGTCAGGTAGCGCGAGGGAGAGCAGGGGCAGGGCTGGGGGCGGGGGAAGGGGATGGGGTAGGGGGAGAGGAAGGGGCAGGGGCAGGGGATGGAGAAGGGGGAGTGGGAGGATCGGGCGGGGCGGGAGGCGTGAGTGTGGTGGATGGCGTGGCGCGGCGGAAGAAGAGGGAAGAGCGGCTGCAGGCAGTGCGGTACCGAGATGCCATGGCCGCTGCTGGCATGACTGCCGCTGCCCCCCATGCTGGTGCTACCACTGACCACCCTGCTGGTTCCGCTGCTGCTGCTGCTTCTGGTGCCGCTGGGGATTCTGCTTTGGATGGTGCTGCTGGTGTTGGTGCTGCCAGGGGCGGTGGGGGGGCAGCAGCAGTGGTCAACCGTGGGGATGGGGTGGGGCAGGGCGAGTCAAGTCAGCAGCACAGGCGGATGGTGAGTGTGGACGAGATGATTCGAGCGTCACGGGAGCAGCGGCGTGCCAAGGCGGCAGCGGTGCACACGGCAGCAGCGGGCCCGTCCGCCGTGGACTTCTACCTGGGCTTCGAAGACGTGCCGCGCCACCTCCTGCACCACGCCCTCGCTGCTGGCATGCCCGCTGGGGGAAGGGTTGGGGCAGCGGGCGGGGTGGGCGCAGCGGGAGGCACGGCCGCTGCAGGCGGCATGGCAAGCGGAGGAGGAGGGGTGGGAAGAGAAGGAGGTGTGGGGGGCATGGATGGTGCAGGAGAAGGTGGTAGTGGGACGAGCAGCAGCTGGGCCAGGGAGGAGATGGGATACGTGAGAACGGAGGGGCAGGGGAGCGAAAGGAGAGGGGGGCGGGTAGGTGGAGCGGAGGGGGGAGGGGCGGCAGCAGTGAGGGGGGGAAGGGGACGGAGGCAGGCTAGTGCGTGTGAGGTGGGACTGCAAGCCATGGGGGAGGGATTGGGGTACGGTTATGGGAATGAAGGTCGTGAGCAGGAACGGGTATGCGGGCAGCAGGAAAGGTATGAGCTGAAGCAGCGGCAGGTGCAGGAGCAGCGGCCGACGCAGGAGGCGAGTGAGCACCAGCAGCTGCTGCAGCAGATGAGGCGGAGGAGGCTGCAGAGCGGCAGTGGCAGTGGCAGCGGCAGCGGCACTGCTAACAGCATCAGTGGCGGTGCTGCGTCTCCTGCTGCTGACGTTGCTCGCCATGCAGCTGCTGCTGCTGCTGGTGGTGGCGATAGTGGTGCGAGTGCTCGCATGGCGGCATTCCTGGCGGACGCTGCCAAGCTCGCATCAGGGGACGCCAACAGCAGCTTCAGCAGCCGCGAGGGAGGCCGGGATAGCAGCAACTGGGACATTGTTACTGACGCTGATGCAGAGGCTGGTGTCACCGCCGGTACTGGTGCTGCTGGTGCTGCTGGTGCGGGTGGTGCGGGTGGTACAGGTGGTGCGGGTGGCAGGGAGGGCTATAGGAGGTCGAGGCTGGGCAGCGGGCAGGAGAGAGGTTCAGCAGGTGGGCAAGCCCTGGTAGCAGCAGCTGCCACTGCTGATGGTCCGGTAGAGTCTGGCAGTGGGGAGGAGGAGGAGCAAGTGCCAACGCCGCACCCCAGGCGCATGATAGAGCAGCTGGAACAGCTGGAGCCATGCACAGCCCACACCCAGGGGCAACCCCCCCATCACCACCCATCCCAAACCAAACCTCTCCAAAGCAACCTCCCCCAGCAGCAGGTGGTGCAGCAGCAGGGGTTGGCGATGGTATTGCGGGACGACCCGATGGGGCAGCTGGCGCCCATCACGGACCACATCCTGCGCATGCCCTATGAGGACGTGCGCGCGCGCTACTCCCTGGGCAAGCACGAGATCGGCGCGGGGCGCTTTGGCTCCATCCGCACGTGCCTGGAGCGCGCCACTGGACGGGTGTTTGCGTGCAAGACCATTGACAAGAAGAGCGTCACTGTGAGCACTGCCGCTGCCGCTGCCGCTGCCGCTGCCGCTGCTGCTGCTGCTGCTGCTGCTGCTGCTGCTGCTGCTGCTGCTGCCACTGCCGCTGCTGCTGCCGCTGCTGCTGCTGCTGCCCTTGCCGCTGCCGCTGCTGCCCTTGCGCTTGGGCTAGGTTAGGGGAGGGGAGACGAGTGGAAGGAGAGAAGTGAGGATCCAATTTTTTACCAGATGCCACGAGATAAAAGGCAAGATACCCGACAGACACACGCCAACCAACCCTCCCGTCCTCCCTTCCCTCCCTTCCCTCCCTTCCCTCCCTTCCCTCCCTCCCCTTCCCCCTCTCCCTTCCCTCCCTCCCCTCCCTCCCCTCCCTCCCCTCTCTCGCCTCCCTCCCCTCCACCCCCCCTCCTCCTTCCTTTCACTGCCCCCCCCCCCCCCCCGTGCCACCGCCCCCCCTGGTGGCAGTGCGCAGAGGATGCAGAGGACGTGCGGAGGGAGGTGGCGTTCCTGGCGCGGCTGCAGGGCCACCCGCACATCGTCAACCTGCAGGGCGTCCTGGAAGATGACCAGGTGGGGTGCGGTGCGCATGGGTGGTGGGAGCATGGGTGGTGGGAGCATGGGTGGTGGGAGCATGGGTGGTTGGGGCATGGGTGGTGGGAGCATGGGTGGTGGGAGCATGGGTGGTGGGAGCATGGGTGGTGGGAGCATGGTAATGGGGTGATAGGGACGAGCAGGTGGGCAGCGGGGGTGGGGAGAGGGGCTGGGTGATGGGAGAGGGAGAGGTGATGAGAAGAAGCGCTGTCTGGCATGAACAAACGAAGCTCTGGAACGTCCGACCAGCCACGTGCATGGTAATGGTGTCGTCATGGGAAGGGCCATGGACGACCATGACCACATTGTATTCATCGGCCTTGGTGGAAGCAAGCAGCATCCAGAGTTGCTGGCCCGTATGCACTGTGTGTGGCGGTCAGCACTCCTGCCACGGCACAAACAAGGGTGCTGACGTGCTTCCTCCCCATCCCGCACCTTTTCCCCTCCCCACTTGCACCCCTTCTCTGTTCTTCTCCCCCCCGCGTGCTGGCAGAGCATTGGGGTGATGATGGAGCTAAAAAAGAGATTCCTAGGCTGGCAGACAGCATCTGCGCTCTCCCTCCCTCACCTCTTCCCCTCCCCACTCTTCCCCCCCTGCTCTCCCATACCACCCCACCTCACCCGCACTTCTTCCCCCTCCCCATGCGCAGAGCATCCGTGTGATAATGGAGCTGTGTGCGGGTGGCGACCTGTTCGACTGCATCAAGGCGCGCGGACAGCTGTCGGAGCGCACAGCAGCGCTGGTGCTGAGGGCGCTGATGGGCGCGCTGCAGCACTGCCACGCGCACGGCATCCTGCACCGCGATGTGAAGCCCGAGAACATCCTCATGGCTGACCGCACTGACGACACCAAGGGCATCAAGCTCATTGACTTTGGCGTCGCCACCAGCCTCGAGCAAGGTGAGGCGAGGGTGGGGTGGCACGGAGGGGAAGGGAGAGATGCGGATGGGGATCGGAGTGCTTCTGCTTTCTTCCTTCCACTCCCTTCTTTCTTCTCTTCTTTTACCGAAACTCTCTCCACTTCCTTCCCCCTTCTCCCTTATCCCTTCTCCCTTCTCCCTCCTACCAATATCCGCTCTTTGAAGCCTGTCTCCCTTCTCATACCCTTCCTTCCCCACCTCTCTGGCCGCCTGCTCTCCTCCCAGCTGACCTCTCCGCCCAGCTGACCCCTCCGCCCACCATGCATCTGCTTCGGTCCAGGGCGTCTTGCAGCTATCAGTCCTTTCAAGAGCATCTCAATCCACACTTTTTGTTAGCCCAGCCCTTGTTCTTTCCAGTGACTTCCGCCTCTCCCTCCAAGCTTCCCGTCCCCAGCCCCTTCCCCACCTCCCCCTCTCCATCCCGGGTCCCCCCACCCCCCACTTTCACCCGGCCCATGCGGTGAGGTGGCGGGCACGCCCGAGTACAGTGGGGGGGGAGGTGGCGGAGGTAATGGACGCGGTGTAGAGTGGTGAGGCGGACATCTGGAGCGCACGAGTCATCTTTACTCTCAAATAATCCCAATACGCTCTCCCTGCTGTCTCCGCCCTCTCCATCTCCCACTCCCCTCTGCCCGCCCTTCTTCCCCTCCCCCCCACTCCTCTATCCCCCATTCCTCCTCCCATTCCACAGCGGGCCCGTGTTCAGAAGTAGCAGGCACGCCGGAGTACATGGCGCCCGAGGTGGTGGATGCCGGGTATGGCGTGGAGGCAGACATGTGGAGCGCGGGGGTGGTGCTGTACTTTATTTTCACTCAAAAGCTAATTCCAGTACCCTCCTTGTTGTCCCCATTCTCCCTTCTCCCACCCACCCACAACCCCCCTTTCCTGCCTTTCCTCCCCTCCTTCCCACCTCCCTCATCCCTCCTCTAATCCCCGTTCCCCTTTCCCCCCACAGCGGGCCCATGCAGTGAGGTAGCAGGCACGCCGGAGTACATGGCACCCGAGGTGCTGGACGCGGTGTACGGCGTGGAGGCGGACATCTGGAGCGCGGGGGTGGTGCTGTACGTGATCCTGTCGGGCGTGCCGCCGTTCTGGGCGTCGACGAATCGCACGCTGGAGGAGGCGATACGGCGCAAGAAGGTGGACTTCAAGTACTTCAAGTGGGCGGGCGTGTCGGACGACGTGAAGGAGCTCATCATGCGCATGCTCAAGAAGAACCCTCGCTCGCGCATCACCGCACAAGAAGTGATGAGTGAGTGCCGTGCATGTGTGGGTGTCTTTGCATGTGCCCGTGCCCAGCGTGCAATGCCATGTGAGGGAGCTCATCATGCGCATGCTCAAGAAGAACCCTCGGTCGCGCATCACCGCCGAGGAAGTGATGAGTGAGTTCAAGGCGTGGTTGCTCATGCTTGGTTTGTTGACCTGAGTGTGCCCTCACATGCTCAAGAAGAATCCCGCTCCCGCATCACAGCACCGCAAGTGCTGAGTGAGTGCACGCTCATGCACACAAACATGCAACCATGCTCACATGCATGTGCACATGCACACATGCACACATGCGCACATGCACATAAGCATGCATGCACACATGCTCTGCACACATGCGCACGTACGCACATGCACACAAGCATACGTGCACACATGCACACAAGCATACGTGCACACATGCACACAAGCATACGTGCACACATGCACACAAGCACACGTGCACACATGCACACAAGCATACGTGCACACATGCACACAAGCATACGTGCACACATGCACACAAGCATACGTGCACACATGCACACAAGCACACGTGCACACATGCACACAAGCATACGTGCACACATGCACACAAGCATACGTGCACACATGCACACAAGCATGCAGTACAGTGCACAGTGCACTCATGCAGCAGTTTCCCTCATCAGCAACTCCGCTCTGCTGCTTCACAGAACGTGGTGCTGCATGTTGAGCCGACAAATTCACGCAGCTTCTTCCATCCTGTCTTGTGCCATGCTTTGCCATGTCTACTTTGTCCCAATGCAGGCCATCCCTGGGTGGTCCGGCACACATTAGAGGAGCAAGAGTGAGGAGGAGGTACCATAGCCCTTGCATCGGCAAGGGCATCATTTGTATCAAAAGACGCCTGGTTACAGGGGCATGAATCTACATTCCAGCTAACACAGTTTTTTTGCCCGTTACCTTGGGCTAGTGGAGACAAATGAAAGTTGTTGGGTTGTGCTGACATAAAAGAAGCAGCGCATCCTAAACGCTGTTGGTGTTTCCTCCATGCTAACCGGTATGTGTGATATGGCAAGCCTGGGCTGACAGTTTTTGCAAGTTGGAAGTGGTGGCTTGCTGGTTCATACGGTATCTTGAAGCATTGGTTACGTTGGGCTGGTCACAGCTTCTCTGCTTCATCGAGCATGGTGCAGTCGTGGATTACCTATAAGAATGAGTTCCTTAGTCTATGAGGATCAGCTGGTACAGGGCAGCCCTCTAAGAGTACAAACAGCATAATGATGAACTAAGGAGAGGTACAATCCTCTCTACTGTGTGCCTCATTATAGCCTAACAAGCTGATATAATTTGACACACCTCCATAGGCGTAGTGATGGACAATAAGAAAGAGAAGAAAAAAACTACAAATTGTCACAAGACCAGTCTAAAGAAGCAACTGTCAGAAATAGAACGTATGAATGATTGACTAAGGGTACATTCCGCAATCGATTGTGACGCGTGAATACAGCATACGGTATGCTGCGAGGTGTCAAAGTTAACTCATAGTTCTTACTTAGCCTATAGTGAGAGATGAGATGCATCTTAGGGGGTACCACTTTTCTCTCGTCATTCTACTTCTACCCCCCCTTGACCTAATCGACACCATTCCTCCTCTCTTAGTTTAACATGGTATTAAGATCGTTATGGTCCTTAGGACCGGATTTTTAAAGGGGCCCACCGTTCAATTTTCGCTCTGCTGCCCGAGTCGCGCCCCTAGGCGCGTCCCGTCTTTTATCCTACCCGAAACGCGCCCTAGGCGAGACGATTTTTCTGCCCTAGGCGCGTCCCGTCCCCTAGGCGAGACGATTTTTTCTGCCTAGTCACAGCCCGCGTAAGGCCCGCGCGCAGCCCGTACAGTCCGTGCTAGACCCTCGCACAGCCCGTGCAGCCCACGCCAGTCCCGCGCGCTGCCCGTACAGCCCACGCGAGGCCCGCGCACGGCCCGTACAGCCCACCCCAGCCCACGCGACGCCCTGTCCTGCAGCCCGCACGCTGCGCCCGCTGCTTGCGCGCTGCCCCTGCTGCTCGCGCGCTGCATTTGCTGCCCGCGCGCTGCTCGCCCTGCCCGCGACCTGCTAGCGCGCTGCTGCACCAGAGTTGCTGCTGCGCCTGAGCTGCTACTGCGCCTGAGCTGCTGCTGCTGCTGCTGCTGTGCGCCTTCTCCTGGGTGCTACTGCTGCTGCTACTTGCTGCAGCTGCGCCTCCTTGCTGGTGCAACTACTTTTGGTCCTGTTGCTGGTGCTGGAGGTACTGGAGGTGCTGCTGGTGCGGGAGGACGTGGAGCTGCTGGTGCTGCTGGTGCAGGAGGTGCTGGGGGTGCTGGAGCTGCTGCTTCTGCTGCTGGTGCTGGAGGTACTGGAGGTGCTGCTGGTGCTGGAGGTACTGAAGGTGCTGCTGGTGCTGGAGGACCTGGAGCTGCTGGTGCTGCTGGTGCTGGAGGTACTGGAGGTGCTGCTGGTGCTGGAGGACGTGGAGTTGCTGGTGCTGCTGGTGCAGGAGGTGCTGGGGGTGCTGGAGCTGCTGCTTCTGTTGCTGGTACTGGAGGTGCTGCTGGTGCTGGAGGTACTGGAGGTGCTGCTGGTGCTGGAGGACCTGGAGCTGCTGGTGCTGGGGGTACTGGAGGTGCTGCTGGTGCTGGAGGACGTGAAGCTGCTAGTGCTGCTGCTGCTGGTGCTGCTGGTGCTGGAGGTACTGGAGGTGCTGGTGCTCCTGGTGCTGGTGGAGCTGCTCGTGCTGGTGGTACGGGAGCTGCTGGTGCTCTTCGCCACCTTCTCAGTCTTCCGCCAGGTGCTACTGACTCCCCTGTGGCAGGTACTACTCCTCCATTACTGTTTCCACCGGCAGACCAGTCACAGCCGCCGCTGCTACCGCGCTCCCCACTGCCTGCTCCTGCTCCTTACACTGCGGTGATACAGTCCTTGACTGAGCGTCAAGAGC